ACAGATTAATGTAACTATGTCCGTAGACTAGTTACTTTTGATCCTGTGACAGAAATCTGGCAGATGCCCACAAGAATGGAGCTAACATTCTTTCAAACACCATCTCAAAAGATCTAGATGCTTCTAGAGACTTGGGTAATTTTTCAATAAATTCCAAGGTCTTCATGACATTGAGACTGTGTCCTTCTGTGCAAGGCAGAGACAGCAGCATGTCAAAACAGTTCAGTTTACTGCAGCCAATAACTTGATCAATAGATATATGCACAACTGTACCAATCAAAAAGAGAACCACATTGGTCTTGAGTGGTAGGGACTGATTAATTAGGGCCATACTTTTTTTGTTTGCTTCATATAAGCTATAGTACACAGAACAAACTTATTGTTTTTTTTCATTGCTGAGGATATTTTGCTCTTAAAGGATGAACAAAATACTGTCAGTAAAAGATCTCCAAGTTAATTGAACAAAAACCATAAAGATTTTTTTTATTATCTGGTCCTAACATCATGCCATGGATGGTGTTAGGAATCCAGTGGATACTTCATTTGAGATGATACTAAAAGAGATTATGGTCATTAAACAAAATGCAAGCTGCCTTTCAGAGTTATTGTGTCATATTTGCAAAGGAATTGCTATGGCAAGTATCTCTGCTCCAACAGTCATGAAATGAGTGGCTCCTTCTTACCCCAAATATGTACTCTTTCTTAACAGAATTTTAAAGCAAGGGTAACTTGCTTAGTGCAACTCAAAAATGCTAGAACTAGTCCTAAAATTGGGAATATGTATTGAGCACTTGTTGTGAATTAAGCTTATTGCGAATGTATGTATTAAAGCACAGTACATGTCCATTGTGAAGGGATATCCATTGGTTGTGCTGCGCTCCTGGTTTAGAACATTTTTCACGATTTGTAATTCCTTTCTCACAACAACCCCACAAGTGTGAGGTTGATATACATTCATTCTAAATTTACAAAGGATGAAACTAAGTTCCAAAGTAGGTTAAAACAATGGGCCCCTGGAGCCCATCCTAGGAAATGGCAGGGCTTGGTCTGTAACCCAGTTCTGCTTCACTCCAGAGCTCCATGCACTTAATCATTATGCCACACTGGATTCCAGAAAAAATAGCACAGAGCTTAGGATTTTAACTTAGGTCAGGAGCATTTTCACCTAGGAAGCCTAGCTTGGTCAAATGTAGAGAGCACAGACCACCCTCCTCGATGCTGTGGCGGTTTGTTCCATGCCATCAATGATCACATTCAATTGTTCTTTATTAATTGTTCTCAAACTGCAGTTTTTGGGGGGAGTCTAGGTTTCATAGAGGTCCTTGCAAACCAAATTCATATCTGACAAAGAGAATGCACTCAGAAGAGTCAAAGCGGTTGATTCCACTGCCTGACACCATAATTAAAAGCCAGAGAAGAATTAGACTACATGCTGAATTCGGGAGATAGCTTTACGTGCCGCGGCAGGAGAGTCTTGGTATTATGTTTGTCCCATTTTGCTTGTTAAATATGTTTATCCAAGTGAATATGAGGAAGATTTACTACTTTGTGAAATCCTTCACAACACAATGGAAGACAAAAATTAGCATTTAGACTGTTTTCAACAAACTGTTATACTGAGCCTGCAGATCAGGAAAGAGACCAGATCGAGGTGCCTTTGGAGTATAGTAGCACTACAGATGGTAATCAGTGCAGTGAGGAAGGGCACGAAGAGAGGATAGGGAAACAGGCTCAAGCAAGCCAATTTATCTGCCTCAGAATGCCTGTAGGACCCGAGTTTTATAGTGGATAGGCTGAATAATTTTGTAAGATCCTAAGGTACTGGGGAATACTGCTGAGCTGGAAGAGAGCAGACTGGGAGCAAAATGGAGCAACACACTTCTACTCTGATGTCCTCAGGAGGTCCTTGCGGGGACACAGGAGGGGAATTAAGACATTTAGTCCCTTTTAAAGTGAAGACAAGTTATTGCGAATGCCCTAAGCTAAGGCTTTACCAAGACCCTATAGATGGACTGGATTTTCCCGGGAAATTTCTCTCTGGAAGCAGACTTTCAGGATTTGATGCATTCTTGGTGTACCTCATCCTGGATCGGTTGCCCATCTTTTATGCACACACACAAATGCACGTGGGAGAAAGAATTGGCTCTTGAAATTCAGGATCCAGGGCTGAAAGTAAGGGTTGATTCAAAAACACAAATCTCACACCACCTCACGCCTGTCAGAATGGCTAAAATAAAAAACACAAGAAAAGTTTGGCAGTGATGTGGAGAAAAAGAAACTCTTGCACACTTTTGGTGGGAATGCAAACTGGTGCAGCTAATGTGGGAAACACAGGCAAAAGAAATGTAGCTTAAAATCTTCTTACAGCTTGCAGATCCCTGAAATATGCAGAGCGTGACCTTCCTCAAGGAACTCGTGGCTGCCTTAGTACCTTCGTGTTTAAAGGGCACCTTATCTTGGCAGCAGCTGGCCCCTCAAGGTCCTGAAAGGCTTGCTGCCAGATTCCTTGGAGTCTTGCCCTATCCCTAACCCCCTCTAATTCAAAAGTAAAAAGTCAGTCACTCCTCACAATCCCAATATAGCTCTTCTGCCCATGGGTCCTGTCCCTGAAGTAGGGAAGTGGTTAAGGTCTAGGCAGGAGAGACAGGAGGCCCCTGACCCGGCTCTGAAACTCTTCCTGGCAGGTGGAGATGCTGAGACAGAGCAGAACAGAGATAAGGGAGCAAACCAAGAGGGCACAAGAATCTCAAGGCCACAAGCTTCCCAGTCAGTTCTCAATAAAGGACCACCTCTAAAAGCCCTCAGTGGCCACCCATTAGGGACCCTTCTCACTCTCGAGAGCTTTTTTCTTTCCTTTCGGCTCTCACCTTCACTTAATAAACTTTCACTTCACTTCACCCTTTTGTGTCCGCGAGATTCATTCTTCAACTCCATGAGACAAGAACCCTGCGATCCTGCAACACAGCCACTGTGGAAAACAGTATGAAGGTTCCTCAAAATGTTAAAAATAGAATTTTGATGTGATCCAGCGATTCCACTACTGGATATTTAACCCAAGGAATACAAAATCACTAATTAGAAAAGATACATGCACCCTATGTTTATTGCTGCATTATTTGCAATAGCCAAAAGATGGAAGCAATCCAAGTGTCCATTCATAGATGAATGTATAAATGTATACACACATACACATAGACACACAATGGAATATTACTCAGCCATAAAAATGAGATCTTCCATTTGCAACAACATGGATAGATCCAGAGGGTATTATGCTAAGTGAAATAAGTATGTCAGAGAAAGACAAATACCATATGATTTCACTCATATGTGGAATTTAAGAAACAAAATAAATGAACACACACAAAAAAAGACAAACCAAGAAACAGACTCTTACATATAGAGAATTGGTGGTTACTAGAGGGCACATGGGTGGGGGGATGGGTGAAATAAATGAAGGAGATTAAGAGTACACTTTTTTTTATGATTTTATTTATTCATTTGACAGAGTAAGAGAGGCAGGCAGAGGAAGAGGGAGAAGCTGACTCCCCGCTAAGCAGAAAGCCCAGGACCCTGAGATCATGACCTGAGCCAAAGGCAGCCCCTTAACTGACTGAGCCACCCAGGCGCCCCACGAGTACACTAATTGTGATGAGCACTGAGTAATGTAAAGAATTGCTGAATCACTATATTATACATCTGGAACTAATGTAACGCTGTGCTAACTATACTGGAATTTAACAAGTAAAAGTAAAGCATCCTCCACTTGCACTGTGACAGGGCTGGAAGGAAGGAAGTAGAAGGGCAAGTTGCAGATGGGAGAATAACCTTGCTTATTCTCTTGATGAGTTTATTATGGCCACCATCAAACAGCTGCTGGGAATTTCATGAGATTTGGCGAGAGGTAATGGGGCAATGGCAGAAGGAAGGAAAAGGAAACTAATGGGAGGAAGATCTCATTGCCGCTGTATCACAATTCATTTAGCAGCACTGTACAAATAGGCCAGTGACAACTGTTTGGTCCTTATAGCATTTTACCAAAATGTGAAATTTGCATTTACTCTCATCAGTTACATTATGTCCTAATTAAAAAAGTGTGAGAACTCCCCAATTTACTCCGTTACACACACCATAGCAACGCTTTAAGTTTAACATTTCAAGTCTCCTAGAGTTTGATTTCTCTGAGGCTCTGCAAAGAGTAAGCATTGGCTTAACAGAGTTAATAATCAATTTCTTGACTACCTGTGAGATTAAGAAAAAAAATTTGCTTTACTATGCTATTATAGGTCAGTTAAAACACCCTATAAGATCTTAGTTTTACCCATTCTGCTTCTACTAACCAAGTGTTTATTTGGAAATATTTTAGATGGCTACAGTGTAGCCTAAGGATTGGAGGGGACTTGGGTGGACACAGGGATTATCAGCCAGAAAACTATGGGAACAGTCTAGGTGAGAATGAGACAAAGGGCCTGTGGTGGAGTGAAGACAGAAGTGGGTAGATTTGAGAGTAAATCAAGGAGGGAAACGCAAAGATTTGGCAGTAGATTGGGTGGGGAGGGTGAAGGGTGCTCAGTAGGTGTTATCCATTTAATATGGTGATCAATGAAGGATTCTTATGTGGAGGGTAGACACATCTTTAACAAAACAAGCCTGGAAAAGGTGGAGGGGAGGAGAAAGTTAACTTTAGGAGTAAAGAAGGTGGCATATTCAGTGTCATGATCAAAGCTTTCCCAAGTGTTACGGTAGTCGAAACAGCAGTCCTTAGAGATTATTCTCAACTAAAAGTTCCCTCCATCCGTTAAGCCTTGCCGAAGGTCCCTAGAGCCGTCGGTTCAGGAAAGTCAAGGACTTGCCTTTTCTCTCGGTTTCACCCCTCCGGGCGGTCCGGACCCGCCCCCTTTCCCGCCAACCGCAGGCCCCGCCCCTCCCGTCTCGCGCGCCCGCACTTTTGGCGCGTTTCCGCGGCCCCGCCCCTCGGGCCCCGCCCCCAGCGTCCTGCCCGCCCAGACTCGGGGACCGCTCTGCCGGGGTCGGGTCGCGGGCCTGCGGCGTCTCGGTCGTTGCCCGAGCCCGCCGCGGCTCCAGGTCTGGGAGCAGCCCTTCCCCGGAAGGCGGCGCGATGCCGGGGAACCGGCCGCCGAGGGTCCGCTCCGGGAACGAGCCTCGTCCTGCGCCCACCATGGAGCCGGAGGGGCGCAGGGCCTGGGCCCACAGCCGCGCCGCGCTCGACCGGCTGGAGAAGCTGCTGCGCTGCTCGCGTTGGTAAAGACGGACCCTCGGGCGGGTTGCCGCGAGGGCGGGGGTCAGGGTCGCCCCAATCTCGGGGGGGTGGGGATCTTTTCAAACCCCGGGTTCCCTCTTCCCGTTGCCGTCCCGCAGTCGGGCCGGCGAGCAGAGTTAGTACCTGCCCAGGGATCTGGTGTTAAGTTAGCCCCTCCCTGGGCCCCGTGCACAGCCTTTCCGCGCGGCTTTCTCGCCTTTTCTTCACCAAACCCAACGAAGATTGGTAGCTTTCGAACTTGGCGGGCCGGAGACTCGTCTGGAGGTGTGGCCAGAAATGCAGATCCCAGGCCCCGCCTCCAGGGAGCGACTTCGTAGGGCTGGGGTGGGGCTAAGACATCGGCCCTTTTTACAGGGCCCCGGACCCCTGCTGACCGAAGTAATCGCAGCACCTTTGCCGAGGGCTGCTGAGTTTGAAGCAACGTCGCTCATTGCTGAGCTGGCCCTTGGACCATTTCTCCGTAGCATCTCTTTCTGGGGAGAGTTTTGGGCACCCTTGTTGGGGGTAGATTCAGGATAGCTGTGTGATGGACGCCGCCATTCTGTTTCTCAGTTTCTCATCTCCTTGGTTTAGTCAAAAGCCTGTACGGCTCGAGGTTCCAGCTCTTTCGGATGCTATTTTTTATTTTTTGTTTCTTAACTTTCCTTCATGTTGTTGCGCCATGGGAGTCTTCTCACTTCCAGGTTTTCATTATATCTGAAGACATCATTTTCATGACTGCTACTCCATGCTTCTTTTCCTGTAGCTTTTCGTACTGTACAAACCAAGGAGGTTTATAAAACGCAAGAAGGAATTGTCACCTTTTTCATTTCTTCCAAAAGCATTGATTGAGCACCTGCTGTGCGTACAGCTCAGTATTTCTGCATCAGTATCACTCAGACAGGTTTTCTCTCTGCTTGTAGCTGCCCTGACTGTGTTTCTTTTTTGGACTTTGTTTTGATTTGTTTTTTTTTTTCCCCTCTTGATTTCCAACCTGCAGAACTTAGATATACATCAAGTACAAGTGGGCGCCTGGGTGGCTCAGTCGTTAAGCGTCTGCCTTCGGCTCAGGTCATGATCCCAGGGTCCTGGGATCGAGCCCCACATCAGGCTCCCTGCTCAGCGGGGAGCCTGCTTCTCCCTCTCCCACTCCCCCTGCTTGTGTTCCTGCTCTCGCTATCTCTCTCTCTCTGTCAAATAAATAAATAATAATAAAAAAAATCTTTAAAAAAAAATACATAAAGTACAAGTAACACCGCAGGTTTTTCTATAAAAAATGAAATGGGCTTAGCTGTGGGGCACCTGGGTGGCTCAGTAGGGTAAGCGTGGGCCCTTGATTTCCACTCCATCAGTGATCTCAGGGTCCTGAGATCTAGCCCAGGATGGGGAGTCTGCTTGAAATTCTCCCTTTCCTTCTCCCTCTGTCCCTCCCCCTCTTCTCCCTCTCTCTTTTCTCTCTCTCTCTCTCTCTCAAATAAATCTTAAAAAACAAAAAAGAAATGGACTTAACTGTCACAGACTTTTGCACTTATATTTTGTTTTATAAAACTTTAAAAAATCGTTGCACCCATTAGAAAAGTGGCACTTTTGCCAGCACATGGAGACATTCTGAGTTGTGTATGTTTTTTCATAACACAAGGGTCATCCATCTGAGACTAAGAAATTTAAAACTGGCTCTGCCAGTTGCTATAATAGAAGCAATTATAATCATACCTTCATAATTCAACAAAAGTTAGACATTCGGATGGGACATTTTTGTATGGAAGGCATTAAGGCAGGCAGCAGCCTAGTGCTTTGATTAGACTGGAGAGTCAGACTGCCTGAGTTCAGGTTCTAGCTTTGACACTATGGCCCAGGTCATTCAAATTCTCTGCCTTGGTTCCCCTGAGTGATAATAGTGCTCAGCTCATCCACCTATGAGGATTCTTTAATAATATATTATTGAGCACCAGCAAAGTGCTCTTTTGGCACTAGGGCTTCGTTAGTGAACAAAGCAGACAAAAACCTCAATCCTTATGACGCTAACATTCTGTGGGAGGGAAGAAACTAAATGAAATTATATGTGCACAGTGTTGAGTATGTTGGTTGTCCTAGGATAAGTGTTAAATAATAGCTGTCTTATAAAAATACAAAGAAGTATAGCCTGCTTGCTGAGTGGTTCGGGGAAGACAAAGTAGGTGATTTATAAGAATAATCTATAGGTTGTCCTAAAATCTAATATAGCCAATTTCACTTTTTATCCCCAACCAAATATTTTTCCAGTTTCTAACTGAAGTGAGCAGACAATAAGAGCCAGAGGCTTGAAAGTGGACATTAGTAACTAGGTCCAGACTTAATATAATTCATTCTGTTGGCTGGAGAATAATAGTGAACTCCAGTGATTTTTCTTAAAAAATTAGTATATGAACCACTGATGGAATAACTAAACTCACCTGTTTCTTTGCATTTTTTAACCTAGGGCTGTGGAAACTTTTCCTGTAAAGAGTCAAAAAATAACTATTTTAGGCTTTGCTGGCCACGGTCTCTGTTCTTATTCTTTTTGTTTTTTTACAGCCCTTAAAAACAGGGGCGCCTGGGTGGCTCAGTCAGGTCACCATCCCAGGATGCTGGGATCCAGCCCTGCATAGGGCTCCCTGCTCAGCGGGGAGTCTGCGTCTCCCTCTGCCTTTGCCTTTTTCCCCTGCTCATGCTCTCTTGTGCAGGTGCGCTCCCTCTCTCTCTCTCTCTCTCTCTCTCTCTCTCTCAAATAAATAAAATCTTCAAACAAAACAAAAAAAACCCAAAAAGCATTCTTAGCTCAAGGCTGTACAAAGATAGTCTTGATTTGGTGCATAGGCTATAGTTGGCCAAACTGTTTTAATGAGTAGAGTGTCTTAACTTTAAAGATCCTTCTCAGTGTAAAATTTTATATCCCATGAGATTTAATATTTAGAAATGATTTTGTGGTCTTCTCGGTGTCTCTGTATGTTTTGGCACTGTTCGTAGTGAATAAAGCATGGCCAGTTTTTCCTTACCCATGGGGAGAAAAAAAAAAAACGAAACAAAAAAACCAAACCCATTCTTTCCACCACCTCTGCCTTTTCCTAGTATCCGCCTGATATCATTGCTTGAAAGGAGCAACTCTGGATGGTCTGCTACTTGCTTTTGCTACCCACCATTCATAGCAGTGTCATGTTACTTGAAATTGTGTGTCAGTATGCCCTTTTACAGAGTTTCAAAGTTCTACCCAGTGGGCTAGTGATTACCCCGATTACCCTCACATTCAGCTTGCAGCTGTCATCTATATTGCGTTCCCAGGTGTCACCTGTCTCGCGTAGCATATTGGATCTATTTTGCAGGAAGCATTACTTGAGGGTGAGGGTGGATTGGCTACATTACAGGGCATCCTTTCTTGACCTTTAACATGAGTGAGGCTCCAAGGTGAAGCGGATGAAATTTTTCAAGAGGCCAGATGTGACATTTGTGTTAGGTCCAAGCCTCACAACCAGATAGAAGCTATTTAAAGATTTGGAAAAATGAGGACGACTATGTCATTTGAGAAGCTGGCAGAAAGCATAGTTAGTAATAACATGTTCCTAAAGGCAATAGGAAAAAAATAATAGGAGCTGTAGTGTAAAAGCCCACATGTCATATGACACTATTTTGTGAATTAAAATAATTAGGTACCGCTTGCCATTTGGAACAGGGGGGGCTTTGACCTCTACTACAATGTAATTTGGAGTTCTAGCACGTTTTAAATCGACTTTTAGTAAAAAATAAAAAAGGAATCTTGTGATTTTTAGGGTAGGGGATTTTATTTTTCTAAATTATCTTTCGTCATTTTAAAGGCAGTCAGGATTGTTTTCACTTACTGAATACCTTAGTTGTTAAGAGCATTGATTTTGAACACTGGCTTCCAATCGTGGCTCAGTGATTTTGGGTAAATTATTTTCTCTTTGTATGCTTTTTTCATTTGCAAAATGAATTAGTAGTAGTTTCTATCTTACAAGGTTATGGGAATTAAATGAGTTAATATTTATAAGATACTTAGAGCAGTGCCTATTATGTTCTAAGTGCTGTATGAATGTTTGTAAAACACAGGATAGATTTCCTGACCCCAGCATTAAGCTTTTGCCTTCATTAGTTTTGAATGTTCAGAAGCATTTTAATAGGCCAGTGATCCTTAAATGGGATGATTACTCCTTTGGCATGCTCTGGTGCTGGTTCTTTATTAGGACCACAAGCGATCACTGAGGCACTACGTTAGTGATGCTATGGTGAGACATTTTCTACTCTTAAGAAGCAAATGCTTAACTGTAAGGGATAAAATGCACACAGAGTTCAGGGAAAATTAGGATGAGGGCCACGGAGATGCAGAGAAGAGTACTAGGATGGTGCCAGTACAGGAAAGCTTCATGCCTTTTGAATTGGGCCTTGGAAAGATTTTCATAGATGGAGACAGGTGGAATGTGCTAGTCACAATATACTAAAAGGTACTGTAGAATAAAGGGGAAGTGAGTCAGGTGGGCAAAGAGTTAAGAAAGGGTCAGATCAGAGAGTGATTAATGGCCTAACAACAAACTATTGAGTCAGTTTGCATAGTTCCTAAGGAGAAGTGATTAGTGTTAACTTCCCTGTAACTCTGGTGTCCTCATCTATAAAATGAGGAAAATGGACTAAGTAGCCCTTTCTAAGGCTCCCTTCAGTTTGCAGATTCCATAATTATTAGTTTCCACTGGATGTAAATTTTTGTTTAAAACTTTTATTGAGGTTTAACATACATCCAGAAAAGGGCACAAATCATTGGTGTTCAGCATGTATCATATATCCTTCCTAATTGTGGGATTGATTTACTTAATGTGGTATTTTGATTCTTTGATAACCTGTTGCCTTCAGTTATATTACACATTTCATAAAGACAGGTTCACATTTGTAGCCACGGTGCTGAAGACATAGTTTCTTAGTGTTTGTTAAATTAATGTATAAAAGAATTTAGGTTAAGTTGGGATGACATTTGAGGAGT